TTAAGCACGAGATTAGTATGCTAGAAGCCTCAGTTACTAGTAACGAGACCCAACCTATCCTGCCAATGCCAATAGTGGCACCCTCACCAATGAGGAGTGAGATGCAACCTACAATTGGTGCAGGACAACGCATGGTGTCAAGCTTTGCACCTAGGGATATGTATGTTGATGAACAGCAACACGTTGTCAAAAGTCGAGGTATATCCATAAATGAAAGTGGAGTGTTGCATCATTCTACACAAAGTGATTATGCTAATCATGAGCAAGATGAAGTAGGTGGCACAAATGAAGCGGAAGATAGCGGTGGCGGTGAATTTAACCCGCACTTTAGAGGAATTCCAGACGCCGAAGAATTGCCTGATCCAGATGACATTCCACCAGCGCTTGCAAAGGAATGCGAAGAAATGATTGCTGTGATTGGATCATTTCTTACTCGCTGTATCTACAGTAATTTGTGGAATCATCGTGACGCTGCGATTCGGAAGGTTACTATGGAGATAGAGCACTATTCAGTTGAACCGATGCGATTGTTGGAAGTGTGCTCTACTTTAGTACAAAGTGGTGCTGGAGATCGCATCTCGCAAGTTATATTGTCGGCATTTGAATTGCTAAATCGTATGCTAACTATTGGAGCACGCATTCGTCGCGATGATATGTGCCGAATCGTAAGTTTAGGACTTTATGGATAATAGTATGATTGATAACTTTACTTATGTACGCTTCTGATAGCTTGGCAACAGCATGACTCAGCTAACGAACAAGCTTGGCGATTCTCACGCAAAGGTTCGCAACGAAGCTGCAGCTTTACTAGGACGAATTGCGGCAGCAGACAACATTGGAGTAGGTTTTGTCGCCTTCCATCTTACAAAGCGCTCCAAGAAGCCACTTGGATTAAAGTTTCTTCTAGAGAGTTTGCTTGTTCTTAAGAAGCTTTTGACAGAGTTTGAACTTGTTTCGAATTCCGACTTTTCCGTATCGGGCATTATGGGATTTCTCGAAGACTGTAATTGTTTAGCTCATCAGAGCCGCGAGATACGTGACGTTGCGAAGGAGATTACTGTGTCGATGTATCTCATAGTTGGCTCGGAGGTCGAAGTTTATCTGAAATCACTGCGACCAAAGCAACTTAATGAATTTCAAGCAGCCTTTGAGGCGGCAGAAACAGCAAAGGCCTCTATCCCTTCTGCTGTAGTTCGAGATGATCGAAGTAGTGGTAGCATTGCCGGACGGATCGAGATCCAAGATCCTGTAAACAACGAAATGGTAGATGCTGCTGAGAGCGAAGATGAGGAATCTGTGGATGAGTATACGTGTCCTTTTTGTGGTGTCGTGGACGAGAAATTTAACTCCGACTATCTTGATCAACACTATTGGGCGTCTTGTAAGATGTTGACACCTTGCAAGATGTGCGGTCAAGTGATAGAGATTTCAACTTTAACTGAGCATCTCTTGTCAGAGTGCGAGCTACAGCAAAATCATCGCGAGTGTCCACGATGCGGAGAAGCAATCACTGCCAAGTTCTACGAGCGGCATGTCTCTCTAAACGATTGTCCGCCTCGTGCACCATTAAATCGTGCTAATCGCTGTCCGCTTTGCCATGATGATATTCTTCCTGGCAAGAAAGGCTGGCGACGTCATTTGCTGGAAGAATTCTGTCCACAAAATCCACGAAGCTAAA